CTGCTGAACAGAACTAGCTTAGCTGTTTAGTCTTCCCCTCAGACTCAAGCTGTTTTATCTATCTATCTCTGCTATTCTTACATTTAATAAGCCACCTAGAAGCACTCACATGGAAGGAAATGAGAAAAGCCTCTTGGAGTGCTGGCAAAGGCCAAAGCTCATTTTAGTGGACTGAATTGTGGAAACTGATCTAAAGCTCCTGAAAATATAATAGTGCATGATCTGACGTGGGCTAATGCTCTGCTGTGAAAGATTTCCCTCAGAAGGTTACCAGTCATCCTCTTCCTCTCTGTCCCACAAACACCACCCATTTAGAAGGAGTCCCAATTCACATCTTCCCCTTGCACTTGTTATTTATGCCTGGTATGTCCTACTTACGCACACCGAGCGCATAATGGCCATCATTATACTTATCCCAAAGCATCAGAGTCACAAACGTATTTCTCTAGAATTCCATGAGGTCAGAATGCACTGCCATGCACATTTTACACAGGGAATTAAACTACCAGTGATCTAACCAACTGGTCTCATGGGCTTCTGTGGAAGCTGGACCCAGAATCGGTATGTGTGTAAGCACATCTGTATAGCGTTACATTTAAGAGGACTGCTGAAAAGCCTTCTGCACACCCACACACTTTCTTTACATTAATGAAATGTACCGACATGCCCACCACACAAATGAGGAAATTGAGGTTGTTACTCAAGAAAACATTTGACTGCACATTTTAAGCCCTAACGAAGCTACCAAAATGCAAGTATGAGTTTAAGTGTTGTCATAAGTACGTTTGCATTTCTTGTTTCAGCCCAGTACAACTGAAAAGAGGGTGACAGTTCTCTAAGGTCACCCTGGGAGGCTCTCCGACATCTCAGCAGCACCATCTAGTGACCACTGCTGCTACTGTCCACTACAAAATCGCTTCCTTGGGCTAAACCCGCCTACAAAAGACGGTTTACACCCCAACAAAAGGTGCAAAAGGAACCTCACAGCTGGCTTGTTTCCTCTCTCATTGCTGAGCCAATTCAATTAAATTCAACATTCAGTGCACATACCCAAGGGCTGCGCAAGAAAGGTAGCTCAGAGGTCACTACGCTCAACTCAGCCGTGCACCTCCACCACTAAACCAGGAGCAGCCTCACCCGTCCAGGTGAACGTGGATTTGGCAACCACCAAACAGAAGCAGTGTAGCACGAAATACAGGATGAACTTCAGAAATCTCATCAGGGAGGGAAAAAACTAAATGTTTTTTGGATTTAATCAATGATGAAGCAAAATGTCAACGCTGTCAGGCAGCTAGTTGAGATGACCGCTTCACCTCCGGTAAGGATCTCATTCCCTTGGATGGTGCTGCCTGCTGACCTGTCTGCCGCATCTATTTCTTGTATTCTTTGCTGTCCAGCAACATCTCTGTTTGTACAATTATACCTCATCTAGCTCAGCTGGGGCTTCTTATATACATAAAGCCCCAACCAACACTGAAGAAGGAAGACGGGAGATGACAGATCTCTGGTAGTTTGAACAACATAAAAAAAAAAATCTCAGGGATTTAGGAACCAAGAAGGTAAGTCACACTTCCAGAAGGGGAGGTAATATGTGAATATACAGCAATACTGAAGTTACAGTTGTGAACGTTACAGGGTTGCACTGCTGATCTCTTAAATGGAAATACTATTCAAGGAGAAAGTATGCAGAAATGGGACCCAACACGCTATCGCAGAGTCACCACACCCAAATCCCAAGAAACACAATTTTCAAAAATTGCTGGAGAATTGTAAGTGACTCGAAGGGAACTACAGTCATGATTCAGGTTCTGGAAACCATGCTTTACAATGACAGATGTGAGCAGCTCAACTAACTTAGTTTCTCCAAGAGAAACAAATAATTTCCAAGTTTGGTGGATTCTTTATCACTTGGAATCTTTAAACCTAGAGTGGGTGTATTTTAAAATGAAATTCTAACAGCAAAACAGAATTAAGGGCTTCATGCAGAATAACTGAGTGTGATACTCTGCCCTGTGTTATGGAAATAGGCTTAGGTCATCATTAGGCTCTCTTCTGGATTGAAAAAATAAAACACAACAGCAGAGAACCACTACAAAGTGTTAAGACGTTTGATTGTGAAGAACCAAAAAAGGCATCAAGTTTTAGTCCAGAAGATCTCCCCACAAGCCAGACTATCTACTGTAATTTAAAACAATAAAGAAAAAAGGGGCGGGGGAGAGAGAAAGAGGGCAGGTGGTTTATCTAGGAATAAGAACACAAGCCAGAAATCACGACCCCCCGTGTTGCTACTCCTGACTCTGCATGACCTGTGTAAGTTACTTCACCCCTCTGAGGATTCCCACATTTGCTTTTTCATATGAAGATACCATCGCTTGCAGCACTGCGCCGACTGACAGCAAGACGACAGACGAGATTTTTAGAACGCTGTGGAAGACAGCAGGTGCATCAGCAAAGCACAGCTTAAATTTCATCCATCTGAACACACACAGTCATTAGCAGTGAGCGGTTCCACAGACACAAGACTTGTGCCTAACTTACAATGTAATTAATATTTTAATAAAGTTGGATCTTGCAGCTATTACATGTAGGTATAGGTCAGGAAGACAAAGAGCTAGTTGTATCTGCAGGCCACGTGACTGCACGCATACAGGCCTCTCCCAGTCAACATAAAGCAATTCATGAACACGCGAGGGCAGTAAAGCCCTTGCAAGACACACAGTGTCAGGCAGGGTTAGTATTTCCCAAGATTTCTTGTACCCTCTAGAAGGCATTTATCTGTAAGAGCCTCACACACAGCACTAGGGGCTCTTCCAGGCAATAGATACCGCAGTAAGCAATGGAAACACACGACACCAGGCAAATCAAGAGCACATTTCCTTCTCCGAACATATACTAAGAACACAGCTAGAAGCAGGTCCTGCTTTAAATCCTCCTTGTGCAAATCAGAGGGCCTCCCTGAACATGAAGGCATTCTGAGGATATACATGGGCTCTGCACACGTAACAGGAAAGAACAAGGCTACCATTAGATCAGATGACTCCCGGTCTGGCTATACGCAGTTCAAGCTGCTTGCCCCTGTGAGCTTGGAGGAGGTGTTATTCCTTAGGTAAATTTTCATTCTTGCTATCAGTGTTCTGCTGGCTCCACATACAACATAAATATACATAGCAGAGTAATAAAAGGTTGTCATCCATCCCAAGCATTTTGGGCTCCCTCTCTACTTAACTCTCCCACAGCGGGTTTCAAAATGAGATATATAGGATACATATTTCATTCTGACAATGACAGACTTTTTTTTTTTCTTCCCATCCCCCTTTTAATTCCTCAGTTCTAATAAGCATATTATTTTTCTAACAATAAATTTGCAGCAGCAGGAAGAAATATAGGGAAGAAACAGACAGGAATAGCATTTTTTGGTTTAAAATAAAAAAACCAACAACAAGAAGACAACTTGCTCTTACTGGAATGATGGAGGCCGGGAGTCTCCAATGCCGCCTGTTCTCTCAATGGGTGGCGGAAGGTCAGTGTGGCTCTCGGTGCACTGGGAGCCTGTGTCAGAGTGGGAGCTTTCAGCCAGGACCAGCTGTCAACAGAAAGAAGAGAATTACACACACTCGTACAGGTTTCTCCACTCTGACATAAGGTGTTCAGCCACTGCTTTGCTAAACATCCTGTGAGATCTAAGGGAAACCAGACGAAAGGAAGCGCTTAGTGTCCAGTTGCCTGGATTCCTGCCAAACTTTCAAAAAATCAGGTTACACTCAATCTGAGCATGAAAACATCATCAGCTAGGATATGCACAAAGTTCCTGCAAGCACCACAATTTTTTTCTCACCTCAGAACAAACAAGCACACCAGGCAGGGAGTGTACTTCTTCTTGTGACTCGGCATGGCAGCATTCTCCGAGTTTCCTAAGTGTGCAAGTTGTCAGCATTCCTTGCAAAACGCACGCACGCTGCAAGACTGCACGCTCAGTCTGGTTTTGCCACGATAAAAGTAAATTCAACTTCACCTGCTAGAGTAAGTGCCTATTTTTCATTAAAAAGCATAATGGTGGAGAAAGATTCCAGTCCTCTACCATTCAAAACCAGGAAGGGAGATGACCAACATGAGAGGCTTTGCCTAAAATGAAAACAGAATTCCACCAACTGAAAGACTTGGTTAGGATTTTAAATGACTGTACAAAAATTAGCCTCCCATTAAGCTGGGCATCCTATAGAGACAAACCCCACCAAGGACTGCCCTGCACCCCCAACAGACAAGATCAAGAAAAAGGCAGGGACGCAGCGCTGCTGACAGCACTGTACTGAGAGCAAATCAAGGCAAAAAGCAGCAACTTGCTCAGCCTCACACAGGACATGTACAGCAGTCCTGAAAGCCAATTCAGACTTTGCACATCCTAATCTAGGTCCATACTTTCCTTCCTATATTTTGAATGTTTTTGCAAGAACAGGGAAAAAAACCCTGCCCCATCAGAAAGGAAGCTAAAACCGATTCATAGATTTCAACAGCCCACTGACCACGCACAGGACTTTCTGGCCACTACCACCAGAAGTTAGACTTGAACTAGTGACCTAGAGGTGAAAAAGTTTATATCCTATTACCAATCCCCTGAGACGTCTAGTCACTTTGCTGAGTCTCTTTAAACAGTATCATTATAAGGTCTTTAATTAAATAAATGCTCAACAATATAGATTATTACGTTTCACTAAGGGGCAATGAGGACGGAGCCAGACTCTTCCCAGTGGTGCCCAGCGCCAGGACAAGGGGCAATGGGCACAAACTGAAACAGAAGAGGTTTCAGTTGAATATGAGGAAAAACTTCTTGACTTTGAGGGTGCCCGAGCCCTGGCCCAGGCTGCCCAGGGGGGCTGTGGAGTCTCCTTCTCTGGAGATATTCAAAGCCTGCCTGGACGCTGTCCTGTGCCCC